TGGCCGGATGTGGGGGGCAGGGGAAGCTTGCATCGGCTGGGGGCCCGGGGAAGCCTCCCCCCGGCTCCTGCCACTCCACATTTGGCCACACACTGCCCCCTCTCCCCCTGCTCCGTGTTTGGCCACCAGGGGTACACTGATCCAAAAAGGTTGAAAACCCCTGCTCTAGATAATGCGAAAACACACCATATAAATAGATTAACAAGAGAGTTATAGATATGCACCTCTGTGTGTGGGTGTCTGTGCAGCACAGACTCCTTTGCAGAGAATGAAGCAATAGGCATATGTACCCATTAATTATGAGCCAGAAACTAATTTCAATGTAAAACTTCACAATATTCTAACCAGAAAATACCCCAAGCACTTCTGGGCTTTCCAGGGAACCCTGTCTGCTCTGTCTTTCTGCTATACAGGTTTCCCTCGCTTTTTGCTGGTTCTGTATGTGCGAATTTGCTCTTATGCGATGACCCTTTTTATACCAAAAATTTGTTATATGCAAGGTAAATCCACTCTTATGCATTTGGTGTGGTGGAAGCCTGCAGTCAGCTGCTTTGTGCGGTGCATTGTGGGAGTGACCACACCAAAATAAAGTCTCCTGTGTGGATCTGTGCTCCTTGCTCGTTGTCCGTGGCACATGTCCAATCCTTTTGGATATGACCAAGAATAATGGGATGAAATGAAGAAACATGTAGCAGGCTAGGGATGACAGTAAGGCCACTAAGGCCCTCTGAGGGGAACAGGAATGGATCCATACATGGTGATATTGTCTCCTAAAGGAAATGGCATGGAGGACATTGATGATCTGACTGGAGAATGTGCTGGTGAATGTTCTCTGGGAGATCATGCTGCAAGGGACCAGGGCTCAGGCAGTCGGTGTATGTGTGAGGGTGGAGGGAAGGCAGGTCAGATGATCTTATGACCTGCTAGTGTACTGATTCATCTCAGCTCTGATTACAGCCAGGTATAGGCTTGGATTTCTCTTTTGAGAATGGAGCAGCCTGCCTTCTGTGGGGTGTTTTCTGAGGGTATTAGAATTGGGATCCTGGCTGAGTAGCTTCTCTGTTAAATCAAAAGAAAAATGACATATGCCCAAGGATACCTGCTGTGAAGGATACCTGCTGCTAGACTTTAGGAAAGCTGATTTCAGTGAACTCAGGCGCTTAGTCAAGGACGCACTGCAGAGTAAGAGTTTTGAAGAGATGGGAGCCCAGGAAGGGTGGCTGTGCCTTAAGGAAATGATCCTTCGGGCACAGAGGGAGACAATCCCAATGCGGGGAAAAAGGGGGAAAGGGGCCAAGAGGCTTCCTTGGCTGACCAGAGATATCCAGAGCAGCCTACGGGCAAAAAGGGGGGCATATAAAAAGTGGAAACGGGGAGAGACTACTAAAGAGGAGTATACCTCCTCTGCTTGCGCTTGTAGGGAGGCAGTTAGACAGGCCAAAGCTACCATGGAGCTGAGGATGGCATCCCAAGTTAAGGATAACAAAAAATTGTTTTTTAGATATATAGGGAGTAAAAGGAAGGCCCAGGGTGGAATAGGACCTCTACTAAATGGGCAGATGCAATTGGTGACAGACGGGGGGGACAAGGCTGAACTCCTCAATGAGTTCTTTGCCTCAGTGTTCCTAAGCGAGGGGCAAGACAAGTCGCTCACTGGGATTGTAGAGAGGCAGCAGCAGGGCGCCAGACTACCAAGCATAGACCCTGAGATGGTGCAGAGGCAATTGGAGGAACTGGATGCATTTAAGTCAACAGGCCCGGATGAGCTCCATCCGAGGGTACTGAAGGCACTGGCTGTCGTCATTGCACAGCCACTGGGGGGAATATTTGAACACCCA